TCCATGATTCATGTACATGTACACATACATTTAAATGTACATGTATATTGTCAAAATTAGTTCGACAGATTGGACACTCGATCATTTCAGACAGGTGAAATTGCAGCACAGAGCATGCACAGCATATCAGATGTTCTATCCTGTGTATTCACAGTATATCGATGTTTGGTTGTGAACACACGGGCTGTATGCATGGGTACAGGGACCAGTTGTCACTTGAATTTCTCCTACAGCTGTTTTCTCATTATTAAAGATGGGCAGAACTTGTTATGGCTGAACTGGAAAAATCACAGGAGAGTGTGACTCCATAAATGGCCACTGCAAGGCCAGTGTTCTAGCATGCCTTCTTTAACATCTCAATTAATTACTGAGAGAGGACTTAATTTCTGAAGAAAGAAATGGTCGGTTGTTGATTGTTTTTCTGTGTTTTGCCACTTGCTCAGCAAATCTATCTCATAGTAAACAACCAAGTTGGTCCCCAGTGGGTATTTCCTGTGATTTGAAAACCTAATACGGCAGGCCTGAGCTTGAACCGTGCCCGTAATGGGATGGTGCTGTTTTGCTGAATCTGGACAGGGTTTTTTGAATGCATCTCTCTTCGGAGATTTGGGGGACACTTTTTTTCTGGCAAGTGCGTGCCTGATGGGATGTTGAAGCATCGTTTGTGATATTTGCAGGCATGATGAGGGAGTTGTGGCCAGCAGCCCTGGATGTAATGTGGGAAGGCAGTGTGTTTAGTCCTGTTGAAGGTCTGTCATAACTCCATTCTGTGACATTGAACGTACTGTACACCTCCCATAGGTACATGTACATGTACACGTATTTACCTCCAAAATATTCTGAAATTACTGCAGAGGCCATACGCTTTTTTGTTTGTTCAGTACCGGTAAATGCCAAACCTGGCTTGCTCGGTGACTGAATCTTGAAATGAAGTCGTTAATTTGTATACCCCAAATTCTGTTTAGTTTCAATTCACCCCCTGATCCCTGCAGACCCCGATGCTGAGCATTTAAGTGCAGCGGATTACATTATTACTTGCATGACCTTCCAAACAGCTCCTTCCTCCCAGCCTATTTGTGTTTCTCAATGCAGTGAATGCTTCGCAAAATTTAGGCGGTAAATAGAAGAAAGAACAGAAAAAGAAGATATGTCATAGCAGTCTTGGGAACAGGAAAGTGAGCAATATGAAGATCGCATGTACATGTATACCGGTATTTAGAAGACAATGCCTTGGGAAAAGGTTCAGTCAACCAAATCTAATATCAGTGCTTCTGGTATTCAAACTTTTTTTAGCAGTCAGAGTGTTAGAATATTTCAGGTTTTTGTCTAATTTCCGACTCCCTCTGAGAAGGGTACATGTACTGGTCCAGGTATGTTGCTTAGGAAAATTCAAAACATGAGTTATGTAAATGTGTTCACCAATTGTATATGTATGGCTGGAAAACCCAGTGTGTTTAAGTTTTCATTTGGTACACATGTATGGCAGGGATTACAGGGGAGAGTGACCAATGATAAAAGAAGCTGAAAGCAGCTGAGAAAAGGAATAAAAAAGCTGAACTGTGAAAATCTCCTGTACTTTTGTACACAGCCAGAGAGGAAAAAAGTTGAAATCTGGAACAAAAAAGCTGAAATCAGCTAAAAAGCTGAGAAATCTCATCACCCCTGAGATTAATAGCCCGTTCTGTTCCAGAATAATGACCTTTATTTCATGTTTATTAATTTTACGGAGGAAAAACAGCTTTGAAAAAAGGTGAGTCTTCTACGGACATAGTGTACACTACAGACTTAGAAGATTTACATGTACCTTATATCTCCCTATCTCCCTAGCAGAAGCAACAATGTTCCCTTTGAGCAAGATTCTTGTTCATAAAAACTTGAAACTTTACAGATCACAGATATAATTTCTGACAGCAAATGAATATTCAAATTTCACCCTCTCAACTTTGACCGGGCCACTGCACAAAAAGGCGCAGGATGACTTCGATTGCCTTGTCCCGGCCAGGTCACATGCCAAAAAAGAGAGTTCTTTTCCTCAGGACAATTTCCTTTTCAAAAAACTAATGGCCTGGTAGGCATTAGCCTTGTCCAATTGTGGACCTCTTCTTGTCACTTCAAGTCCAGTAGGCTCTTCGAAACCCTACAATGTAGCTTTATCACTAACCCTGCCTTTACGAGACTCTTACATGCCCTCCTTGACCTTTTTAGCTAAAAAACATAACTCTTGGTCTGATGCCGTCAACCCACACACAGCAGAATTCAGGTTCTTACACTCTACATCCTTCATGTACATATGCACAGGTGACTGGTTAAAATATCACTCTGGCCTTGACTAACATATATCGGTACTTGAGGTTGCTAATCCCAATGTGTTCTGCTCACTCAACAGACAGAAGGTCTGAGAAGTCGGTCTGAGGAATTTTAGCTCTATGGGCATTCCGTGGATTGTGGAATCATACATGTACATGTACAGTATGAGTCGGGTTTCGGTGAGATACTGGTTTCATACAAATACTGTCCAAAGCAAATGATCCCTGTCAAATTGTCAGTCATGTTATAGTCGGTACATGTACTGTATGTGTTTGTGGCATTTGGCTGGAAGTTGGCTGCTGTGTCTTGCTTTTTGCAAAGTTGAAATTTTTGACAAACAAATAATTGATGCACATGTACCACAAGGTGAACTATTGTGCTGTTACATGTACAAGAGTAGGATATGGCATACAGTATGCTTTATACATTGTGGGAAAAACCTCCCTCTGATGGGAAAATCCTGTGTCGGTACACTTGGTTCTTGTGCAGCTGGCAAGAGCAGTGCTGAGCACTTTCAACCATTTTCTGTTGCACATACACATGCACATGTAGGATCTCCCATTGTGCTCCGGGACCAAGTTGATAATGTGCCTCGCTTTGCAGCTTGTCTCTTTTTGGGGCCACTGAAGGAATGCATCTGTCAGCTTGGTATAACATACAAGACACATGGTGGTTAGTTCTTGGTGTGTACATATGTGATACAGTTGACCTTGCCAGTGTACATGTAACTTACAAGTACACTGTACGCATATTCTGTATGTTGTGCATGTACGCGTATATTCAGTACCAAAATGAGACATCACTGTGAACCAGAAAGTGCAGTGCAAACGAATGGAGCATGTGCGCCTGTTGGTTCACATACTGATTCCTCCTCTAATATCTTTTACATCCACACTTGTGCGCGTGACATAGTCACTTTGGTACTCTATAGCGAGGTTGGGTAAAGTTTCAGTGCACATGTCAATATGTACGTATTAAACATGTACATATAGGAAGAAGCGTATTTATTAGAAAGCCCACAGGCGCTACCGGGGTACATGTACGTCCCTTAGTGATGAATTCCTGATAGACAATGTTGCCCTGATGCCTTTCTGCCCAATACAAACATGACAATCATCAAGGACTATATGTATACGTCACCTTATAGTCATTTGGATCAGTATAGACCAGAATTGTCTGAGAGGTTATTAAAGTTTGTTGTTTTGTCAAATTTGTTCAAATGTCAATATTCCCTGCAGAGACGATGTAAAACCTGGGAGAAGTTTTTTGTATTGAGTACACCTGTAGGTCGGCCAGTGACCACTGCTGTGGCCTTTTTGCATTTTTTTTCACAATCAGAGAGAGCAGGAACGTCAGAAATGAGGGAAATAACCCAAGGAAAAAAAAGTTTTGACATTCTGTGGCCTACCAGTATTGGCCTGCAGCAGTAATCACTACAAGTGGCCATGCTTTAGGGAATTTGACTTTGTGGGTCAACAGAGGGGTTTGCAAGTTCATTCATTTCACTTCTGTGTGTCAAGAAGATGTTGAATTCAATCTTAGATGGCTTTATTTTGTTCAGTAGAGTGGCAGGAATTTGAGAACTGTGCCCAATACGTCACTCTGTCCTGTCCATTTTATGGCCTCTGGTGCACATCTTCATCTTCAGAGGCCAGTTAGGAGAGAAAAGAAAAACATGTTTTTGTGTTTTTCGAAGACAAAACTGACTGACCACCGATGTCGCATGATAAGATTATTATCCTTAAACTATGGCAAAGACCATGTGTTTTTGCTGACAGTTTACATGTACATATTGGTGAGTTTACTTTAATTCTAAAACTGTCAAATGTGACAAAGTGTATCAGAATCTGCAAAGCATGAGAACTTATAAGCAGTTTGACTACTTGACCATCAAACAAGAAAACAGAAAAGTTCATTATTTCAATGAACACGAAATTAAGCTCCTGCAGAAAATCATGGGTCTTGGGTCAAAACTAAATCGTGACCTACATGAATATTCATCATCAAAACCCCCTAATATATCTTTATATAAGTTTTCTGGAGGAACACAAGAAACTTCCAACCAGTGGCATAAATTTGTGCCGGAAGTTAGGGGATGGGAATTGTGGGGGGATGACTTGGCATGGCCGCGAAAAATTGAAGGGGAGGGTTGGCTAATACCACACGACACTTCATCTGCCTTGAGCAGAAGCACTCCCTCGTCGGTTGAAAAGAACCATGTTGATCAGGAGTGTTCATTTTGGTGGTAGCGGCATGACTGTTAACGCATGCATTTCACAGTCGTTTGTGAACCAGCAAAGTGCCCCTGTTGCTAGGAAAATTGTGCCCTCTAAGGGGGCAATGTTTATGATGCAGATACTTATCCGGTACATCTGTAATATCCTTGTAACATTCATTCAGAGTCTTACATCAGAACAGCGTATTTATGGCTTTTCTGATTGTTCCCCCCTTCTGAGTGATATTAAATACATTTGGGTTGTTTGGAAATCTGAAACATGCTTCCCAATCCGCATTATTTTTTTTCTCGCCACTCTGCCCATTGCCCCTCCCCCGGTCAAAAAGTGGGGGGTGTATAGCCCCCATCACACCCAAGGATTTACTAGTGCATGTATATCATATACACCCATGCTTTCTCCTACATGTGTAAGTATTAAGTACATGTACTGAAGTTTGTGCCTTCCATCATTTTCTAGGCCCAAGTCCAGCAGTTTGAGGAGGAGAGGAGTGCCTTGTATAGTGCATTGACCCAAGCTCTGTCTGCTAGTACCAGCCCCCAGGGCTTACAACAAATAGCAAAGGTACTATTTGTCTTCTCTCAATAGCCAGATAGCCTTATTTTAAGCTTCTTTCCTCATCTTTTTGCCATGACAGCATTATACCTGTACGGTCCATGTACCAATGTCATCAGTTGCACCAACAACTGGTTTAATTAGACCTTATTAGCACATACATGTACATGCACGTGTATCTAGTGCTTGCTAACCAAAGTCTCCAATTGGGCTTGACAGTTATTATCCCTGTTCACTGGGCCCTGCTGTCGCTCAAGGGTGGTGAGAAACAATTGAGTGTCTTGCTCAAGGAACACAAGCACTATGGGTTCACACCTACACAGACATGGACACAGTGCCCCTACATGTCATGAGTTGGACACTGAATGAATGTTGATGTACATGTATCTTTTAACAATTACGATACTACTTGTAAATGTACTTGCTCTGATGTGGGATGGGATGTTTTTACACCCGAGGGCCTCATAACACCCGAGGCAAAGCCAAGGGTGCAGTAGATCACACCAAGGGTGTGTGAGGGTGTTCGTTACATACACTGTATGCTGTACCTCTGTCTTGAATTCTTTGCAGTATTTTCCCCACCTGAAGTGTCCCAACCTTTATTTGAAACACCGAGTGTTTGCAGGCTGACAGTGTGCATGGGATCAACGCATCATTTGAATTGTGTATCATGTGTCTTACTCAGAAGCAATTTGTTAACTTCCAAAAAACATTCTGCCATACATGCACATTGTACATGTATATGCACCTGCCAACTGTTCAAATTTAATCAGAACAGTTCTGGTTTTTTTTAGTTTTTAAAGGCCTAAAAATTGCAACGTTCTTATTCCCTTAAATAGGGGGAAAAGAACTCCTGGCTACATCATTTGCAGGAAAAAAGGACACTGTTTGTAGGGAAAAGAAGTTCGTAGTTGCTTTGTGAAAATGGCAGTTACACATACATGTACACACTGTAGGTGCATACAAGTACATGTAAGTAGCTTCTCTCATATGGCTGCTTGTCTTTGCTGTTGGCTCGTAAACTGGACGTTCCGATTTCTGATTTTATATCATGCCAAGGGACTCATTTGAAGAAATGAACTTCAGGTAAATGGATTTGATGTACACAGTACATTGTAGAATTAATATGCACTATGATGAATTTATGATGAAAGTCTGGCGGAAGTTAAAGTACTCCGCCAACAGATGATGCTATTGTACATGTACGTACATTGTACATGTACAGTACGCCAGTTCACTGCTCCCACTGCACTTCACTTTCTGCAACTGCATGGGTGACAGTGGGTCTGGTGTACCAAGTGATGGGAGTGGACTAGTGTACATGGACATGTATGTGTGGGTGATCTCACGATATTATATGAACACAGATGAGAGTACATGAAGTACACAATGTACTGTACATATACTGGTTTTTGTTGTTATTGTCCAGTCACATGATCATTATGGGCCAATGAAAATACGGTATTCAAGGCATGGTGAAGGACAGAAATCAATTTTTTCAGGAGTGGTTCCACATTTGAGCCCGAGGTACGGGACTCGTACTGTTTTACGATACCAGTAATTTGGACAATTTTGCCAAGGTATGTGTACATTTACAATGTACACATATTTGAATGAAGTTGGACATGTTCACGTACATTGTACAATGTAGTTAAAACTGCTGACATGGCACACAGCAGTCTCGGTCAAGGAGGTGACCATGTATACACTGTACATGTACACAGTGACAGTGCATAAGGCCATGCAGTCAGTCTTTGCTCATAGTTAACGACTTTTGGCATGAGCAGTAATAGAGGATGCTGTTTGACCATCACTGGACATGCTGGAATGCCAGTGTGTGAGACACATTGTGTGCACTTGTTACATGTATGTACTGATATGGTGCAAAGTAAGCACAATTATACTGTACATACTTGCACAAGATAACCTTTCATGGGAAAGTTAGCATGATGAACAAACCAAAGCTTGCTGCACTGATGATAAGGCCCATTCAAAGTTGTCAGACAACAAAGGTTTTTAGGTACATGCACTTTTCTTTAATTATTATTGTAGGTTTATTCAAGCAGGTGGGTGCAGCCAGAGGGCTGAATTACACGGTGATTTATGTTTGCATAATTATCAATAAAATAGTACATGTACAATTTGAATTTTACAAGCATAAAAATGGTACAAATGAGTTTAAATACATTTACATTCAAGATCTAGAGGTCTATAAGAAAAAAATTATGCACCGAAAATAACAATACAAATTACGAACAAAACATAGTTACTCCATATGACACCACAAGATTGCACATCAAAACCACTCAAAAGATCAAGTTGTATAACGCACAAAAATATAAATCTAAACACAAACCAAAAGAAAAATCAAGGAAGGGGGTGGAACGAGAAAGAGAAGGGGGAGAACGAAATCGAGGTAAGAACTGAAAGGAGAAACGGAAGTAATGGGGAAGAACGTGGAGGGAACTAACTGGGGGGGGAAATTGTACAATTTACCATAAAAAAGTGTGATACAAGTATGTTACAAAGAACTGCACATGTTCACAAGTGTACATGTAGTTAGATAAGGCACGGTGCTGTGTTTTAATCTATTAGGGGAACACAGATGTTGTTCAAGGGTGCAACCTGATCGCAGACTCATGCTATGTGAGCTTTTGGATTGCTGAAACCATTCACTAAATTCACCAGATTTAAATATTATTAAAGCAAATTTAGTACAAAGAGAAGTTCTTCTGTTGCTCCATGACTCGAGACCTACATGTAGTTTGGACAAAGCTTGACTATATATGTAACTGCTGTACTGATGACCCAAAATAATACGACATACCCTCCTTTGATTAGATTCAAATTGAGTGATTTGTTTTTGTGTGATACCAGAGTGCCAAACAGGAGAAGCATATTCCAAGATAGGCCTTACAATATACATAGCCAAGGTATACCCAAACAAGTTCTTTATGAGTTAAACCAGTCTGTTTAAGTTTCCTTATCATAAATGTTTTTCGACGACTCGCTTTACCAATCATGTCATCAACATGGGAATCCAATCTCAAGTTATTTTGAAAAATCTCACCCAGTAGTTTGACATGTGAGACCTGCTGAAATTGAAACTCAGATAAGTAATACACTGCAGTGCAGGAGGTGGTTCTCTCTTTCCAAAATATGCTTGCATAGTTGGACATTTTGATGGATTCAAGGACAGTTGATTTTCTACGGCCCACTCAATGAGTTTATTTCTATCATCCTGTAGATGACAAACCCCATTAAATTGTCTACATTCACCGAGGGTTGAGTCGTCAACGTATTTTCAGTAGATATCATTAACTTAATTAGCAGCACTATTTATACATGCAAGAAAAATCACCGGGCCAAATTTTGTGCCTTGAGGTACATGTACTTCAAGGCAAAGTTTGCCACTCAGAGAAAGTTTGTTTGTACTTAACTTGTGGTTTCCATTCCAATAACATATTAGCAATCCGTTGAACAATAGCTGGGGAAGAACCTCGGCCTGAGAGATTTGTAATGGCCACCTCTTGGTAAACTGAATCAAATGCTTTAGTAGAACCAGTAAGTGTATAAGTGTGCCTATTTCCTAACCTGCTGTTGGGAAAATTGGTGCCTGAAGGAAGAATGTTAAGAAGGCAATGAGTAGTGGATAAACCTTTTTGGCTACCAAATTGTGTGTCATCAATATCCACGGCCCATTTGCAAACAAAACCTTCAGCCATTTTAGATAACAGTGGGGTACATGTAAGTGAAATCCGCCTAAGTTTTTGTAGCAAAGGAGGGAACTGCTTTGGGATCAGAACAACATTGGCTTCTTTCCGTTATGTTGGTACAACAGCCTGTACAAATGAAGCATTAGGAATGTTTGTGATAGGAGTACTCTATTCATATGCAAATTCCCTAATTATTCGGGCAGGCAGATTATCCGGCCCCCTGTTTTTGTAACTGAGGTCCATTTAAGTTCATTATAAACAGACAAAGGTTGAACAGGGGGGGGGTAGCAGTGGAGAAGGCAGACACGCAGGGAGTGTGGTAGGCTTTAGGGGTCTTGACCTTGGAAAAAACTGGCAAGGGCATTATTAATGTCATTGGCAATCAGTTTAAAGTCAGAGGGATCATGCTCCAGAACATGTATGGTTAGATCACTTCTCTTAAAATTGGCCTACGTTTGAATATCTCTATGCCACTTCCCCGGGTCTGTCTTCTGCATGTTACGAACCCTTCCTGCATAGTATGCTTGCTTAGTGGAAACAATTTCTCTAATAACTTTGTTTCTGAGAAGCCGGAAGTGATTTCTATTACCACTAGCAAAAGCATTCTGTCTTGCATTGATAAGGTGCTTCATGTGATCAGTTAACCATGGTTTATCACAAATATGACGTTTAACAATTTAAAGTGGGAAGTGCTCTTTGATACCCTGAACTATAAAGCCATCCACCTTCTCTTGACAGCACTTTTGGTACCACATCCCTTGTTAGATCTTGTATCCATCTCCCAAAGGAACGGACACTGCTATCATTCATTGGCCTACATGTAATAATCTTTTTGTAATTGATTACTACTGGAATCTTGGCACTTGGGAATCCAGGTAAAACAGTTATGGTCACTTTGACCAATTGGAGGGGAGACGGTGGGACATTCGTACTGATCAGCAAAATTTGTAATAATAAAATCTAAAATAGCATCTCCTCTGGTTGGTTGTGTAACTATCTGATCAATATTGTTTCCATTGCAGATAGGTCTAATATTGAACCTGTTAAAGTCACCCAGTAAATCAATTCCAGTGCTTGGTTTGCGAGTCCATAATAGGTCCATTGTAGACATTGTATGTTGGTGAATCAATTCTTCATGTGGAGAAGCTGGTGGGATGTAGACCGCGAAGATGGCAATTGCGGGCACACTCCTTGGAAATCTGGGACGATGAAGGAAGACCCATTCACCCTCGATTGATGGTGGAATTTGAATTTCCTCAGCTGGAAAGGCCTGCAAATGCTGTTTAACATGTATATGTAGCAGCACACCACCACCACTAGTGTTTGGTCTGCATTTACTGAAGACCTTGTAACCTTCCACACGGAACTGTTCCGGGGCTGTGTTAGGTGTAATCCATGATTCAGTGACGACCGCTACATGAAGCTTGCTTACTAGTAAGAAACAGCTACAGTTTGCCTGTTTTATTCAGAACTGCTAGAATAAGCATTGGTTAACACAAACTGTGACAAACTGATCGACGTCTGTCGCCTTTGATAATTTGTGGGTGTGATGCCTTCATTCCAGTGCCTCGGTAGTTGTTTAAAGGTCGAGGAAACTCGCAATTGCTGAGGCACACCAAGCTGGTTGCTTAGTCTTCCACCAATCACCACTGGAATAGAGGAGTAACACCTGACTTGCGATTATCCTTGATTAATGTCGTGTTGCCTTTGCCTCCTCTCCTGCGCCTAAATTTTGAACAAGTTATGGAACTTAATGACTCTATATTTCTGGCTTGAGTTGATAATGAGTCGAGCGTGGTGCAGTCAGCTGATTTCATGTATATACATATACATGACTGGAGACGGTGGAGTGCGGTTCATTTGTATCGCTGCCCATATTCAAGACATGGGGGCCTGGGTTGGTTGAGACATCCTTACATGTACATACATGTACTGTGATATCCAATGGTGGATCATGGCCTGGAAGAAATACCGTAGTAATCCCTCATTTGGTCCATCTAACAAGGGCCAATCTTGATGACCAGGACGATTGAGGTAAACGGGGTCCAGCGACGGCATGTGAATTCATCAAAGCTGCTATCATTAATCTCATTACTGGTGGAGAATGTCTCACTTCAAGTTCAAAGGTGAATGTATGGTCAGACACCCTGACTATAGGCTATTCACTCAAAATATGAAATGACGACTGAAGTGCAAGTGCGAGAATGACAGCAATCAATGGCGCAATGTTCTACATCACAGTTTGTCCGCCATGTTGAGCTGAAAATATCCATTGGGGCCTGTCACCGATTGAAACAGTACCTTTTAGATCAGTAGAGAAGCTGGTGATGTCAAATGCTGGCAATCAGGAAAAAAATATTAAGTTATATTCCTTGGGCAAAATATTTCCACCTGCAGCAAGAGCAGTGAGCGCTAGCATCAATGAGTGACTGCCATTTTGCGTGTTCGATGTAGCTCAGTAGAAGATTTTACATTGAGAAAATATCCTCTTTCGGCTGTCTAAATTCCACAAAATTTATTTGACGCTTTCCCATATCTTGAGATAGTCTGGACAGTCCCAGTTAAATATTACACCAATGATACAAGATTAAAAAACGAGACACACAGAATAACAAAAAGACATGACAGCTTGATGAACAGCGCCCTCTACACTTGTATGGTAGTTGGGATCTTATGAAGACCTCTTTAGTGACTTCTTTGCCATTTCTTTGCCAGATATCAGAGCCAGGTTCAGTAGCTTTGAAAGTGACGGACAGTCTTCGTAGGCTTGAGGCAGAGCGGACCAGGTTGCAGTCACTGCTCTCGGAAGAGAAGAAACAAAAAGAATCAGCAGAGCGGATAAGGTAGATTGGTACTTGTGTGAAGCGTGCTTATGGTCACCCCTCTTCAGAAATAAAAACGGACTAAATCTGCTGATGAATCCTGTTTCAATCTCCCATTCAAACTCATTTTTACAGTGTGCTGCCACATATGGCCTGTCTTGGTACATGGGCTGATTTGCGCATTCAGAAATCCGCAGGTGTTTTGTTCTGCTATTGTACGTGGTATTTTGGAGTCTTTTCGGTTGTCAATATTGGATCGTAAGTGTGTGTTCAATGAAAGATGTCAATATTCATATTAATGAGCAAAACTATGATGTCATCCCAGAAATTGAACCTCCATGCAGCATTGACTTGTGCTCAAACAGCTCCTGGAATTGTTGATATTTTACTTTTGTGAACGACCTGTATTTATGTCTATGTTGAGAAAGTGGACAAGTTAAGGAGTAACCTTTTCTCAAAATGGTTTTTAGTATTCACTGAGCAACAAACTTGGGTTCAAACACAGAAAAACCTCCCAGCTGAATGTGTTGTCTGGCCTGATTAAAAGTGCACTCTGAACCTCCAAAACAATGTAATCAGTTTTCATGCATGGAAGAAACCTAAATAGGTGGCTTATTCCCACAAAGCAAATCACAGTGGGTTTACATGCCATCCGGGGTGAAGTGGTCAAGCTCTCAGAGATTCTCAATTATTTCATCCAATTTTTTTCTCCAGTTCTGAGTTGCGGGACAGTTTACGCATTGCTGACGAACGTTACCAAGACGCAACGCAGCAGCACCAGAGCCATGTTCAGTCACTGGTAAGCCATTGCAGTTGATGCTCAACTGCATCATTTCATCAGAAATATAAAAATGAATAAAGGTCATTATATCTGCATTACTGCTGTTTTATTATTCGGATATAAAATCGCTTAATACCAAATATTTGAATATTATTTTAAAATGAATATTTGGAGGCCAAAGAAAATTGATTAAAAGGTATGAATTATTTGGTGACAAATTGCATTCTAAAAATTTCCAGGTTTTTCATTTCAAGGTTTTACAAATATAAGTAAAGACAGCTCAATGCATTTGCCCAGCAATGAGGCCCAAAATGATTTTTCCTTCCCGGTATTTTCTTTGTTTTACTCTATAAAAAAACATTTACATTTGTTTTCTGATTTTGTGGCAATTTATTACAACTGAATGTTCAAGTATTGTATGGAATGGAAATTTGAATATTGTGTTCATATACATGTACAGTACTTGTTTTGAAAAATGTTAATTGATTCAGGCTCACATACCTGTATATTCGACATGCAAATACGTGTGCATATAAGTTCCAGTTTCAAAAGTGAAAAATTAAACGTGTAAAAGGGGAATTACTACAGAACACAGTCTTTGTGTTTTCTTGTTGGAAACTTGCAGTGGCCAAGAAATCTGTTTCGATGGTTTTAATTTTCTTCCGTGCAACTTAGGAAATGACACAAAACACAGCAGAGGATGTTGAAATACTGTACTTGCAGAAATGTATAAATATCAGGGAAATGCTGCTGCCGTGAATGGCCTTTCTACTTCAGTGTCAGTTTTTTCTTTCTCTCCTTTGTTTCCTGGGAAGCTGAAGCCTATAAATGGAATGTCTGACTTGATGTGCACCTTGCCCATGTTGAGAGACTTCATTCATGAGCTAGTCAGTCCATATTTCATGTAAATCGGATGTGAAGAAAACATTTCATTTGAAGAACTCAAGAGTAATAATGACAGCGTTAAAGACAACTTTCAGTATAAATGTCTGTCCACTGTGACGAGGAATGATTTAAAATATGTGATTACACATGGCATGAAGCTCGAAGCTGCACTCGTGACATTCAAAAATAATGAAAGTTGGCCTTGGACACGCTGGAGTGTACATCTACCGTACATGTACATGTACTGCAGCTGTGAATTAGTTTGGCACCATCCCATTCAGCATTTTATAATTCATACATGCAGAAACAATTCAGGGAACTTTATCAGTCGTGGCTTCCTAATACATTGTACATGTAGATAAAGAGAGTTGGATATTCAGTTAGTTTCCCATTAGAATCAAGCAAAGGAGTCACATGAATGGCACATCTTTTCTATTCAGCAAGAGCACTCTCCTGGTTGTACATGTGCTGACATGTACCGGTACATGTGCTGACATGTACATTGTACATGGACACGTATAGAGTTGGCAGTCCAAATTGATAAAGTGTGGCTTGATGAGTGAAAGCAAACACATGTGGCAATTATGGTAAATCCGGCCATGATTACACCTGTAAAATCAAAACCAATTTGGGATTGGTAACATTTAATAGCCCTTACATGCATACGTGTACATTGCATAGCAACTCGCTGTGTTCTGGAGTTTTCCTGCCACTGCAAGGGAAAGCCCTTGATGGACTGTGTGCTGCAAGCTCACAGTCAAATTAATCTGTCCCTCGATGACTGTCACCGTCAGTTACACGTATTTACCCCTTTCCCATCTGCAGTTTAATGTGTCATTTCTCCCCCTCCTTCCACCCCTTTCCCTCTGTCAATGGGCTTGCGGCAGACACCTCAGTGACAGGTCATGAATGAAGGGTAACCTGTCCGTGTCACCCTGCTGGCTGGTCATGCCTGTATGGGCTAATAGTCATTCAGGAGTCCAGAGGGGACACCACACACTGACTAATTGTGACAAATCGCCGGACTTCATTCAACACCTCAGTGTCATGGACAACGTGTCCCCACCGGCCATTAATCACGTGCCTCAACTTTTTTGCATTTAAATCAGCTCAGAAGTCTGTCTGCCGTCAGCACCTCAGTGTCATGGACAGCACGTTGGCCGCCAGTCATTAGTCATGTGCCTTATCTTTCTTGCATCAGAATCGGCTCAGAAGTTTTCCACAAAATGGCTGTAAATTTTTTTTTACCCTGCTAAAAAGCAAGGACAATAGTGCATTTACTGTTTCTAAAATTATGATCTAGAACAAATTTGAGGGGACTCTTGAGAGTTCCACTCCCCCCCACCAAGAGTGTGTTCTCACACATGGAGGGAAGTCAAGGTTAACAGAAACCATCATTAAGGACAGTCGTTACAGTTCCCTTGGGGGAAAAGTCAGTGTTTAGCAATCTTGGTACTTGATTAGGGAATGCTGTTGGAATTTGAGACTACAGTAGATATAAAGAATAATTGAAGGGTACTGAAGGTTGGAACTCTGTGAAATACATTTATTAAAAGTTGTGTTTCCCTTTGCCAGGAAGGCATAAATTTCTTTTTGCCATTCGCTAGACAGGTGCCTGACAGATGCATACATGTAGCCCCCAGGGCAACATGAATGATTGGAGAAATAGAACATGTGGGCGTGCATGTGTATATCTTTACTTACATGTACCACGTGGGAAAGGAGCACAGAAGGGAACAAAGGTTTTTTTCTCTTCCCAATTAACAGTCAATCTGTCATTCAAAACTGTCACTTGCAACGTTGGAGAGTGTTGTACTAGAGGAACAAAGGAGAACACAATGCTTTGTGAGATATACATGTACATGTACTGTACAGTGTCTATAGGTTTGCGGGTACACCATAAAATCAATCTCTCTTGGAAGAGGTGTGGTTCTTAGAAGAATTGGTGAGTGTTAACCTGACGTTTCGGCCAGGATGCTCTGGCCGTCCTCAGGAGAGTGTGCTGGACTCGAGTGGACAGCTGGGTTATAAACCGTCGAGTTACATGTAACACTCACCGGTTCTTCTAACAACCACACCTCTTCCAAAAGAGATTGATTCCATGGTATACCCGCAAGCCTATATCTCATGTAACTTCCACCATGCAAAGCTTCAAATCATACAATGCTTTATCTTCCAAGCAACTCATGTGCAGTTGTAGACTTTTTGCATTGTTAAACAGCAGAACGATAGAAAGTTTTGGGTAATTCCTTAATGTACATGTACAGTGTGTGTACATGTTCTGAACAGTGTCTTCCCAGGATGACATCACTCTTTTTTGGTGCCCTCAGTTTTCCAGGAAAGCATGCACAGCCTTAAATGTTTAGAAAAGTGTACTCTCCAATGGCACGCAACCTCAAAAGGATGTCAAATAGTATTGAAGAAAAGTTAAAAGCTACCCCAAAAAGCGTCTCAGGAAAACAGAATTGTTGCACATGTTTCATGGAGCCTTCAAGATAAAGTCTGTCTTCTGTCAAAAGATTCTAGTCCACCATTTTACCAGTGATGGCATTGAATTTGGATTTTGTGTAAAGCCCCCAAAGGCTTTTGGTACATTCTGGTAATGTACATGTACATGTTTTAAGCATGGGCATCCAGAAATGTCACTGTTTTATACTTTTTAAATTTATAGCCGGGGGATTTAGCACAAGTCGATACAGTGCACTGAGAGATTTTGGAGGATTTGGTACCGTACGTCACAATGTGGTCATAAGAAATTTGTACTTTGCTCTGGTACCATAGATTAAGGGGAATTATTTGGCAATGTACATTTACAAACTGTACATGTACGGTGTACTTTGTACATATAATTGAGCACTGTACAGTACCAGGGTATTTTCATAGGCACATGCAGTGTACATGTATGTGTAAAATATGTCAAAAAATGTCTCCACTTTTATGTTTGTGTATAACTCTGTTACTACTGCATCTTGAGTTGCTACACACTAATTAAACATGTACTCTTTCTGACTAGGATCTGCAAGGCCAGTGGTTCTCTAAAGGAATCAAATATTTGAAGCAAATCGTAAAGAACGCGTACAGTGAACATGGTGAAACTCAAGCAAAATTATTGAAAGTCAAATTCTAGAGTATACAACTGTACATGTATGTGCCGATGGTTTACTCTTTCATTGGTTTCTCGATCTAATTTCTGTCACTTAGTATTGCAAAACAGGGACACTGTCTTGCCCTTTAGAGCTGGTTTCTCCTACTGGTACACATGTGTGGCACACATGGTGGGTATAATCACCATTTCAGTGGTTGAAACAGAAAATAAAAGACTTGTATGAAGCATCATCGTGGAATGGAATGGCTGGAATGGTGTGGCTAGTGAGGAATTGGTGCATTGATTTCAAATGCCACTGCCCTAAACTGTCTCCAAAGTTGTTGTGGCAGCCTATCACGCCACCCTCTTATCCTCTATCTTCACTACATGTATCCCCACCTCATTAAACTTTCATGCTACGTCTTTACCCTATTCTTCCTCTATTCACGCCTTCTCCACAATGACACATGGCCCCTGACAAGGAGCGGGTTGCTCTTCTATTCCTCAGTGTCACCTGGAGAGACAATCATGAAATAATAATGTTGAGGCTTGTAATTTAGCCTCTGCTAAGCAAGTTTAAAAAGCCCCCCCTGACATGCCAGACGTCTTTAAAACAGCGCCGATTTATTGTCCGTGACTGATGTCAACTAGGCGACCGTCAGATCTTTGATGAGGGCATCAGTCATGTTGGATGATGCTCAGGCCCAATATGAAACTGGTGGAATGTTTTATTGATGAAGGCCCCTTGCCATTTGGCTGTGTTTGTGACTGTTGCCGTGACAGATCACCCAGTGTGTGCCGCTTGTTGTAAGTTGTTTTTTTTTCTGAAAGCAAGCTGGAGAAAGACACATATGCATGCTTGGTCAAGGAAGACATACAATGTACCATACTCTATGAATACATTCACCTGTATGATTGCGCCAGCCTCGTTGCATGCCAGTACCCAGTGTGGACTTTCGAACAAAAGAGGTCCACATAATGCTGGTTGTGTGAAGCTTGTGCACATTAAAGACCAGCCCACACAAGGTTTCCCCTTTTCTGGAAAAGTTGTAGAGGCATGTTGGGTTCAGGGTTATTTGTAGCAAAAGGAAGAGGGAACAGTCGAGGAAATCATGCATAAACAGAACCCCAACTTAAAGTGTTCACAGTGCTAGGAAAATGAGTATTTTCACTCAGTTTTATGAAGTACCCGGTACATGTACCCACTGGTATATGAAAACAATGGAATGTCCACACTACATGTAGGTAACATGAACATGTAGTTAACATGAACGTGGACGATTATTAGTACCCTCTGATGTCAGCATCATGTACATGTAATCAGTTAGGGATGCACGACAGAACATACGCATATTTACAGGTGTTTCCTCACTCCCTCCAACTCCAACTTGAAAAGTCTATTTTAACCATTTTGGCAACACTTCACACAAATACCAATACATGCAGGAAGAACTTTTGTTCCTTCAACAGTGGACAACATTTTAGTCACGGTAGCTGAAATGCATGCACATGACTATTATTTTGCTCTCAGCTTGTTAGATAATTGATTATAATGTTTTTCATTAGGAGGGGTTCACAGGTTGGTGTTAAGACACAGGTTACCATGGAGACGCTACATGTATGTTTTTACGTGCAATATGCCCCAAAAGTAAAGTTAGCATCTAGCATTGAACGGTATCAAGGTCTCAGCCGTGGATGCTTTATTTTCTCACCTTTAACAATGCCTCAGAATTAGCGAATCAGTTCAGCTCAGTGTTCCGATCATCGATGTTCGTCCAGGTGGAGAAAAGTGACTGGTGTAATTGCCCACGTTTGATTTGGGTCAGTGCCATCTCAAACACTGGTGGTAGGATCCCGCAGCATTGTTAATTACTTCTTACACGCTGGCAGCGCACTGCTGTTGCATGCTGGATCTGTTTGCTAATTGAAAATCGCACTTTTGTCAGCTACTTTTAAAATGAGCTGGAGCAGGGCATGAACAGGAGTGAATAATAATGCAAATATCTGAATTTTTTTCCAGACACATTTCATCAATAATGCAATCCTTGATACATGTACATGTGTATGTCTACTGCACAGTTCTGAAAGAAATATTGTAAGATAGAATAAAAGCAATGAGAAATAGTAATACATGTACATGTACAGTGCACTGTACATGTACACGTACAGTGCACTGTACATGTACATGTACAGTGCACATGTTGGTTTGTTTTTAACTGCCGCAAATACCAGACCTGTATTATTTGTAGGGTACATGTAGCTGTAATCAATTTGTTTTACAACAAATCTTCCCAAAATTGTGTCAGAGTTAACCTTGTTTTCAACTTTTGTTTCACTATTTCAAAGAGTGTTTTACTACGGTTTGTACACAAAAATCCTGCATTGTTGTAGATTTTGCTGGACTAAATTTTCTGTTTGCTGATTCACTGTTGTTTCTGTGCATGATAAGCAAGCATCAATCCCTTTCTGGAATTGGTTTCAGTAGTTACTGTATATTCTGGACTCACAATTTGAACAGAAAAACCTACATGTACATGGAGGCACTCTTCCCGGGAGGCTGAATGACTTCCCAGCAATAGCGCCGTCGGTTGTCCAAGAAAGCATGGATACTTTTTTAAAAGAATGCAAAAGAGTTTTTATACATAAAAGAAAAGTACAAAGTTGCCGAAAAATTGTGTCTAAGAAACGTTCATTGCAGTTCCTCTTCAGAGCCCTTTTCTCACTGTTACTTATCTGACAGGTCAAAATGTGTCAAATGTATACTGTCATACATGTACATGTACATGTATTCTGTCAATGGATTATGGTCCATTTTTTGTGCAATGAACAAACAGTGTTAGGATGTAGTGCCATTCATTTCCGAAGTCCACGGTAGGGTCCCCGTTTGTCTCACACGTAACGCTACCTGTTACAATCTCCGAAAACTAGCATTAAAAAACTTCTTGGGTATTTCCCACTCAGATGCCCAACGGCAGGGAAAAAACACTGAAATCAAGGGTAAAACTTGTATTGTGTACATGGAGCCCAGTGCACATAGAATCCTGCACTTGCTGATCAAACCTTCATGCACCGTTACATGTGCCACCTGGGTTTGAGTTCAATTCTGAGGTACACACATACATGTACACTGTACTTGTTCCGTAGCTGTGGGGACTCCACACCTTTTGCGAAAACAAATTTATTTTATTGCCCCAACTCAGTCGCGGTGAAGACCTAGCTACATGTACTCTCACAAGTTGGCAACTATGCCGTCTCCTAGCTGATTTCTTTCTGTGGTTTTACATCATTAAATGTTAAATACATGTACATGAACACAATCACACATTCGGATTCCGCTTCAAATCTCTGAGTTGTTTTCGGACCGATAAGCATGATATTACAAAATGGGGAATAGCTTATGAAGTATTGTGCTAGAGTTGCTCACGTTTCGGGCTTGTTTAAACACCTCCTTTGAGTCACCATTCCCTGTGAGAACCAATACCCAGGCTGATCTTAGCATGCAAATTTGGGACTGTGTCCAAAAGTTTTTGAAAATTAAGGATGTGGCGGGGCATAACATACATGCAATTGCCAATGGAAATCCAACTACTAGTGGCCTCCTCCCTCCTATCCCAATGTCAGGCTTTCCAACTGGACTGAGGTCAGCATCTTTCACTTGTAATGGTGAGGAAAGCATCAGCGAATTAAGTCCGAATTCTCAACATGAATTTCCACGTACATACGTGTACATGTCTTCACTGCTTGCAGGAGAATGCCATAGATGACTTGAAGCAGGAGCTGGCAGCGTTGCAACACCGCAACCAAGATGCCTTGAAGGCCAAAGAACACCTGTTGCAAGAGGTAACAGCAGTTGGTTTGTTTTTTTCCTTTGACTCATTGACAATACCCAACTGAGTTGCATTTTGCCATCCCTGGCCACATGCATGTAGCAACCTAGCCTTCTAACTCCACCCACCAACTTGACCCTGCTCATCAGACTCCACCCACCAGACCGGACCCCAATCTACATATACCTGGTGTTAAATGTCATGAATATTGTCATGTTTTAGTCCTGGGGAGTCCTGGAAAATTTATAGAATTTTGTTTTAGATTTCCGTGGGAATCCTGAAAGACTTGTAAAGAGCCAGTGTACATGTATATGCAGCAGATCTAATGATTATACAAACCAACTGGGTGTGAATCACACAATAACATGTAAGTTCAATTATTATCGAGTTCTAGCCTGTTGTGCAAACTGGCACATGACTTTGAGAGGATTGTCCCATCGCTAAGTGGTCAGTGTACCTAAACAGGCCTCCAAAACTCATTCATACCGGTAGATACATTAAAGAACTGTACAGTAATTTCAACAGAGTCATTAGGTAATGTACATAGAGAGGGCATCAACATCAATTTTAAGGGGAGTTAGAACTGGTCGCTGTGCCAGTCTGACAGTCTGATATATACAAAATCGATTAGAGGGAAGGTTTGAAGTTAAAGAAGATTTACTACTCCTGACATGCGTATCAGCATTTTGCTGAGGTTGTCGAGCTGTCTTCCTCATTGTCACATGTGACATCATCACCCGCACGGTGTCACCCATGGGATTTGCTCCTGTCTGAGTGGGAGGGAAATGATCTGGCTAAAAATCACAACGCCGACTCCACAAAGAGACACGAGCATGGATTTGCTCCATGCCTCTCTCATCAGGTTGATGTCAAATGCAAACCACTTTAAGCGTTGAGAGCCAGGACTCGTACCCTTTCTGCCGTTCCTTCTCTCTCCTTGGAGAAGATCACATCTCCTTACATGCCCCCTCCATTGATCTCCTTTGCTGCAAAACACCCATCTTCCCCTGCCCCTTGCTTTCAGACTGGCTGGGGAATTGTAAATTTGTTGGTTTGGATGCAGGGACAACTGCCTCTCTAATCTAACTTTTTCTAGAAATTACTGGGTATTATTTCATTATCGAGCTTGCTTTTTCATCCTTTGCCAAGAACTAATATAATTTAAGCTTTTTTTTTCCCACTGCCAAAGTCAGGACAAGATGTGTTATATATCTAAAGTGGAATGTACATGTACACATACATGTACGTCCTCAGAAGATTTCAGCTGAGGTATGCTCTGCACTCCCATGTCTGATGGGATGTTTCCTTGGGTAAATGTCAATTGACTGAGTGCATAGCGTTTATTACATCACTCCATTAAAGTGCCCACGCGCTGTGAATCTCTGCCTGCAGTCTTTGCAGATGAACCTGTGTATCCCATTTAAACATTTTTTTGTTATTTCAAAGCCATTTTGGTGCCATTGTGGGTTTTTACACTAATTAGAATTGCACATTCAAGAGCAAACATGTTATTTCAGGGAAAAACTCAATGTCACTTCTGTTATTTCATCACCAACATTCTCCTAAATTTTGGATGGTGGGTTTGTGAGGAAATAAATTCTGAAAGATGTTTTGGGGTTCACAGATTGGACGGAAACCCCCTCAGCGATATCGTGTGTCAAGAAAAACAGGGGAAAAAAATATGTTTCAGAAGGGCTGTTTTCAGTCATGTCACCGGGATTAACCAAAACGGAAAAGTAACTGGTTTTCACATTTAGGATTAGAAAGGGGAAATTGTCATGTGTGTGACATGTTTACAAGTCCCACATTGGTCAGTTTAAAGCATGTACACATCCACATGTCGAAATTCATATCACACAGCTGTTTGAAGAAGAATGCAGTTTTTCTACGTGCAGCAGAAATCACGCTGAAGTAAAATGATGCCAAAAGGCTCTCACAGCCACCAGTTTGGCCTTGCTGGCTTTGTGAAGACTTTGCCGTACCCAACAAATATACTCGTATTCATAAATGCTGCACACTCAGTTCTTGTCTGAGAGCTGGCAAAAAAAATTCACAGGCTTACTCGGGTGGGACTCGAACCCACAACCTCCTGCTTACTAATGCAGACGTCTCAACCACTCGACCACCGAGCTTGCCGGGGTCGGCTGGCCGGTCCGACCATACCGTACTGTAGGCCTACATGTACATGTACCATACACATATATGGACTGGCAGTATGGACATTTCACAATAGTGAGCCCCCAAGAGTTTGCAACTTGGTGGCCACTGTACGCAGTGCACGTTTGAATAGGTTGACATGTCCAGATGTGTCATTCAATGTGTCACTCGACAATACACATTTGGCTAATATTGGCTAACGTGTTGCAAACTCTTGGTGGCGCACTCATTTGAAACACTCGTATTAGGGAGAAAAAGATGGAATTATTCACATTGGGTCTCCATGAGTGGCTGCCTGAGGTGAGATTTATCAGGCAAGATCAGTTTGTGAAAGCCAGCCACTGATTTGATGGATTTCTTGGTATTTGACAGGTCAATCTTGCCGTTGACGGGATGTCAGATGAAACAGCAAGACTCCACCAGGAACTTGCACAGTCTAAGGTACAGTACATCATTGTAGGTACTGTACATGCAGGGACATCTAGGTATATGTAGTCAACCCAGTCCTGGACGGACTCAGCTACTGATGCACATGTCAAGAATTTTGAAAATACTTTTTTAGCTCAGAATACGGTTTAACAAAATTTGCAGGGAAAAAAATGAAAACTGCTCACTAAAATTTTATGGATGACAGGGTGACATACACTTTTGTCGAACCTGATCAAATGTTTTTCCGTTCGATATCGGAACTTGGAAAGTGCCAGGACAAGTCAATATAATACGGCTACAGATGATGCCGTCACTGTTCAGCACACATGTATGTTAGAAGGTCTCTATTTGGACCCACATGTACTTGTAGTTTGACAGAAATGTGAGCTGTAAACCAGGCCAAAGTGCTACACTGAGTTTGTCATGTCTGTGGATTGAGGAGAGAAAAAAAATCTCAGCAAAAACAAAGGCATATCTTTAACTATAGCCCCAAAAACCAAATCTGGCTACTATCAGAGGTACTCTACACACTTGTGGGAGTACCTGTATGTAAGTTGATTAAGTTTGAAGTGGCAAGAACTAACATCACAGAGGCTATAAATTCCTAGACTTACCAGCAGTCCTCTATCTGGTTTTTCCCCTCAGTTAGAGGTGACCAGTCTTGGGCACGACAAGCAGTACTTGACGGAGGAGAACCGGCGGTTGATGGAACGTATCACAGCCTTGGAGCAGCAGCAGGTATGAGGTCTGCACGACACCTACGGAGGGAACATTTTTCTTACAAGATCAAATTGACTGAAAACGTATCAAAGATACAGTCCATGCATATCAAAGACGTGTTGTCACCCTCTTTTGGAATGATGTTACCTCGGTGATCTCGAACAGTCTCTCATCAGCTTCTAGAAAAAGCATACATCCTTTACATGTATGTCGGACAACTACTGTATCAATACTGTAGTGAATACCATCTGTAGACCAGACACAGGAGGAGTCACGAACAACAGAGGTGAACAGCTTCTAACATAAAAGGAATGCTTTTGTAGCACTCCATTTGAATAGCTTGCGACTTAAATTCAGACTGCTGGTCTTACGTTTGTCTTGTGATGGTCTTAATTAAGAGGTCTTGCCAACACTGTACTTTAGGGCAACACAGCACTTCTGTAACCTATGGTGGCGTTGTCATCGTGTCCTACAGAAAAGCTTACTTCAGGTGCATTTGAGTAGCTTCCCCACAAGTTGAGTTGGGTACAACCTTGTCCTGCCTTGTCCCACAGATGTCACTTGTTTGAATTGACGCAGCACACACATCCATACTGAGGTCAAGGTTTACCCCATGGAAGCTACATGTACCCAAACACACACAATAATCAAAGGCGTACATGAGATTCTTTCATCCTGTCATAAAGATTGCATTTTTTTTTAAATAAGGCAGAGGCAATAATCGACTTGTTTGTTTTATTAACTGCCTGAGCCTTGCCTTTTGTCAGCATGCCCTCCATTGTAAGAAAGGCCACACTCTGCATGTTCATGCCTTCCAGCTCTGTGACCTGGGTTCGAATTCCACTCGGGCCAGCATGTGGATTGGGCTTTCAGTCAAGTACCAAAGTCCATGGGTTTTTCCCCTAGTTATTTGCCCGGAGTTTCCCTCCCACCTCCAAAACAGAACATTGTCTCATTGACTTCTCCCCAGCACCCCGAGGGAGAACAGTTTATACATGTAACTGACTGGGCTTCACCTCAATGGAATATATAATAATTTCATACATTGCCCTGCATGACATTGTGTTTGGGTATGGGTTTCCCAGGATGCACAAGAAAAGGTCCAGTCAACGATAGCAGAGCTCCTTGAAAGTAAGAACCGGCTGGCCTATGATAAGGGACGATTACAGAGCCGTGTGGACCAGCTACAGAAGGAGCTGGAGGGCCTGGCTAATGCACGGACAGACGGACTACAGCTACAGAAGGTGAATGTAGCCATGCAGGCCCAGTACACCAAGGTATGGAGAGAAGAGGTTGGGAATTTCATCAAGATGACAATACAGGACCAGTGCTCGATAAAGACGACATGGTTCACAAAGAGTGTTTGGCACAGCAAATTTGTGGTCAGCGATGCACCCAAATGTGTCTACATGAGGATTGTTTAACATTCTTACCTTTCACATTAAATATCAAGTTAGAAGTACTTGTTAATTCACACTTTAGCCCAATTATGTTCTTTTTCTTGTTGTTCTTACTGGAAGTGATATCATGAATCGAAATCAAGATTTTCCTAGAGTCATCCCCCAAATGGCACGTGACATGCAGCAGTGTTATTGTGATCCGTGTTACTAACATTAGACCTACATGTACATGTATAAGACACGGGTGAGAGCCATTCTGTGGCACGTGGCAGTGTAAGAAATGTCACTCAAACAATGTTGAAAGTGATTGAGACTAGCAAATTACACAAAGATTTTGGCGAGTGAAGTCACAAAAGCTGATAACTGCCTTTGTTTTTTCATCTTTTATAGGTATTCATTACTTGTATAGCAGCAAAGTGTTCCACTGTATTGAAAACAAAGTAATGTACATATACTCATGGCTTTCATGAAAATTTCTTGATGCAAAATTTGATTTCAACACTCTCTATTGTCTTGGCCTCCCTTTATTGACAGACCACAAGCGAGCTGAGTTCTGTCAAGGTGACCATGCAGAGACTTGAAAGCAAGTTGAGACAGGTACATTAACGTAGTCAATCATTTCAATCGTCCTTCACATGGTTGGAAAACAGCAAAAGCTTTGACAGTGAAACCTTTTGTCTTGAGAGGTTCTGCAGATGGGTGGATATGTTTAAACAAGAGTTTCCCTGAACTGGTTTTTTTTTTTTTTTTTGCTTGCCAGTTGGACTTTACTAAACGAAACTTTTAACTAATCAGTAGTCTTTAAGTATAAATGACAATCATGTACAGTGGTCAGTAAAATGGCTGTGTAGGAAAAGGAAACCAAAAACTGCAGCTAAGGTGAGTGAGTGCTGTGCAGTAATGAACCCATTTCATTGAAGGGCTGCTTAGATATGCTCTTGTCATGGTTGTGAATTAGCCCATTTCATTGAAGGGCTGCTTAGACATGCTCTTGTCATGGTTGGGAATTAGCCAATTTCATTGAGGGGCTGCTTAGACATGCTCTTGTCATGGTTGTGAATTAGCCCATTTCATTGAA